GAAGGAACCGATCGCGACAGAAACGACCCCAGCCGCACCCGCCGCACGCACGAGGTACCTTTCATCGCCGGCTGCAACCACTTTACACGGAAAAACACAAGGTTTCGTGCTCCGGCTTCCTCCTCAAAACATAGCCCATGCAACATTCATGCAGGCATTCCAATGCGATCTGCATCCACAAATTCAAGAAACGCAAAGAACTACGCACACAGACACAACTACTCGTTGCAAAACACATAGAAGGAACCGATCGCGACAGAAACGACCCCAGCCGCACCCGCCGCACGCACGAGGTACCTTTCATCGCCGGCTGCAACCACTTTACACGGAAAAACACAAGGTTTCGTGCTCCGGCTTCCTCCTCAAAACATAGCCCATGCAACATTCATGCAGGCATTCCAATGCAATCTGCATCCACAAATTCAAGAAACGCATAGAACTACGCACACAGCTTCAAGAACTACGTCATCACCTCCCTTCGTCACCTCTTCCCTTCCTCACCACTTCCCTTCGTCACCACTTCCCTTCCTCACCACTTCCCATGGTCCCCACCTCCCTCCCTCACCACGCCCCTTCATCACCACTTCCCTTCGTCACCACTTCCCTTCCTCACCACTTCCCATCGTCACCACCTCCCATCGTCACCACCTCCCTTCGTCACCAACCTGTGTCATACCTTCTTATTCTATGTGATGTACCACCCTTCATCAAGGTCAGTCCTTTTGTGAGGTATTGTTATGTAATGTAAAGTCTCACACCACCCTTCATCAAGGTCAATTCTTTTGTGATGTATTGTTATGTAATGTAAAGTCTCACACCACCCTTCATCAAGGTCAATTCTTTCGTGATGTATTGTTATGTAATGTAAAGTCTCACACCACCCTTGATCAAGGTCAATCCTTTTGTGATGTATTGTTATGTTGTGTAAAGTCTCACACCACCCTTCATCAAGGTCAAGTCTCAGTCGCGCACCACCCTTCATCATTTCAAGTCTCAGAATTCTATTTGTCCGTAACACGGAAGTATTGCTTCCCAACTTCCTTTGATAATCTAATCCAATTTGTCTATCTAATCTCATCTAATCTGGTCTAATCTATCTAATCTAATCTAATCTACCTAATCAAATCTAATTCTAATTTAATCTCATCTATCTAATCTAATCCAACCTAATCTAATCTAAACTAATCTACCTAATCTAATCTAAGCTAACTCTATTCTGATCTAACCTAATCTAATCTATCGAATCTATCCTAATCGAATCTACCTAACCTAATCTAATTCTAATCTAGTTTAATCTATCTAATCTAACCTAATCTAATCTACCTAATCTAGTCTAATCTAACCTAATCTACCTAATCTAATCTAATCTATCTAAGCTTATCAAATCTAATTCAAATCTAATCTAATCTAATCTACCTAATCTAATCTACCTAATCTAATCAAGCAAATCTAATTCT